CTTTTCAGTGATACCCCAGCAGAATTCCTGGACTTGTGGTTCCTCAAGACATGTCACTGCCTTTTACTCCATGCCGAACCTCCCACAACTGCAAGTATAACAATCTCACTATTGTTACAGCCTCATATTCTATTTCTGTGTAAGAACTGGCAAACTCTCCTCTTAAAGGCACACTCCACACTTATACTTGTGCCACCAGACTTGTAGTCCTTCATTTATTAATAGACATTATTGCTATATATGAACTTCCTGGCAGCCAAAGGTCTTCTGTATAAGGTAACACAGACTCCCTACAGTTGCACACTAGTCAATCGCTAAGTAACCTACGTAGTGCAATCAGTCTACATCAATCAAATTGTGAGCAGTTTCAATCCGCAGTTGTGATACATCGCCCAAACCCTGACTACACTACAATTAAGGGGATTGTGCGTTACATTACCTTCCTCAGCTACAAGCATATATTTGTTCAGTTATTTTATGCACATCTTTGGATGTCAAACTGTCCCAGAATATTATTGTCTGTCAGTCCTTTTATACTCACTCTAATTCCTCTATCCGGCTTGTTGTCAGAGCTTCCATCAGATCCCTGAAATGAGGACCCTCCAGATTGTTCCCAGACAGTTCCAGTGTCCTCAGTGTCTGGTTATTTCTTATTCCAGATGTCAGGTCGTGGCAGGAAATGTCTGTCAGGTGATTTCTATACAATCTGTAGAAGAAGAGAAGAATGTTACCAGAAGACAATGAATTTCTCCCCCAGGAATGAATGTAACTATTCTCTACATGAATGGAACTCATTTCTCTTTATTGGAATCATTTATGTTCCATCACTTTATAAAACTCCAGTAATATAATTTTATAAGAGAAATGTTTTAATGGAGTAGACACCCCAATATTGTCATCCATGTGTAGAGACGATAATATCTCCATTCACAGGATGAGCACAGAATACCACTGACATGACTTGTGCCATCAAATTGGGATTTTTTAAATACTTTGTTTACCTCTGCTAAAAGAGCTCTACATTAAGAGAAAGTAATGGGGAGTGACAGTTTGATGATGATGATGATGATGGTCATGTTAGGTGACAAGAAGCTCATATAAGGTTTTGATTTCTCATTTGCAATAACATAAGATTCCCTGGTGTATTGCCACCTATAATCTCATCTATTTTACGGTACTAGTTACCAAACCAGGGCTGTAGGAAGGGCGAGGCGAGTGAGGCACTCGCCTCGGGTGCAGGCTGGGGGCGCAGCCAGGATACTGGTATTCCGCCGTTTGGGGGGGGGGCGCCGCGGGCCCGAAGATTTTCTAGTGCGGCCAAAGTTTAAAAAGTGTGCTCTGCCTGCGGCCGCGTCGCGGCTTTCTCACGCTGCCAGCGCCGATCTGAGGAGCCTGCGGTGCCGCAGCTCTCTCACGCTGCCAGTGGTGAGAACTGAAGAGAGGGACTCGGGAGGACGTAGCGAGGGAGGTGTGGCCGTGAGGTGGCTGAGGCGGGTCCCAAGGTTGAGTGACGAGTCCAGCATAGGCAACCTGAGGTGATCACTGACGAGAATCGGATCTGAAACAGAGGACAGAGAGGGAGAGCTGCAGCCTTCAGGTACTATGCTGTGACAATGACAGTCAGTCAGTATATCACTCCCCTTCTTTTCCATCACTTCTGTACTGTAGAAGTGATGGAGAAGAAGGGGAGCGATATACTGATAGTAATATGTGTGACACCTGTGTACCTGCCTCCACATTAGTATCTAATCTATTAGTTTTATCTCTATTATTTAAATTATAATCAAAATTATGTGGGGTGGATGCTCAATGGGGACTGTATGGACTCATTCATTTTAACATCTTTCCATTATTTTGTCCTTTATTCGTTATTACCTTAGTTTGTCACTATTACTTTTTGGATATTCGTTTGGTTACAATTTAATCTAAGATATTCATTGGTTTTATTACATTAACCCACGATCAACTTAATTTCATTGAGTCTGTGCTATACACGCACCTTTTTTCACACACAATTTTTTAAACACCTGATTTTATTTGAATACATTGTATCCATCTTAATTACCTATTACACATTTATACTTTTAATTAATTTAACCTTTAGCGCTTGGTTATCACTTTTTCGTTCATCTAAGGAGATTTCTCCTTTCATTTCTCAGCTGCTTTAGGTTGTATTTATTTTAGTGAGATCCAGGAGCGCAGATTATCTCTCACATAAAAATCAATACCAAACAGGAAAAAAAAAAGGGGGGAAAGAAAAAACGGAGATACAGTGGAAAAAGGGGAAGGGAAGAGGAGAAAGGACAGAAGAGGTAGAAGGGTCAGGTTGTTCTCCCATGCATTCTAGCACCCCCAAAGGACCAAAAGGACCACACAAAAAAACCACACAACCTTGCTGGACTCGAGGAGGGAATCGCGTAGGTCAACCAGAGTTCCCAAATGTTAAGACATTTCACGTAAGTGTCTCAAAGAATGCTTTTTAATTTGTCATTTACCAGAGTGTGTTCATACATTCTTTCACCTCTTGTATAGGTACACTGGGCTATCTCCAAGCTTTTGCAATTGTTTGCTAAACCACCCGGAATAATAGGATTTTGTTCTTACAGTAATTATTTTTTTCTCAAGAGTCCATTGAGGGACACAGATCTCAAAAATTATGAGACAGGTATCCTGCTGCCTACAGGAAAAATGGACACTAGGCAAACAAATTAAAAGCCTGTCTCTTTAAGAACATAACCCCTACTACCTCTCACCTGCCAGTTGTAGCAGTATAAATGAACTTGAGGGGAAGGAGCGGTGTCCCTCAATGGACTCCAAAAAAAGAATGTTATGGTAAGAACAAAATCCTACTTTCACTATTGTCCATTGAGGGACACAGCTCCATTGCAGGACACTGACCAGCGCCCAGTGGGGAGGAGAAAAGCTAGGGATGCACTGAATTTTCAGCCGTATTTTTGCCCATTATGGTACTACCAGTATTTTGCCCATAGTACCGTTTTCGTCTGAAATATTTCAGTGCATACCTAAAAGAAATTACATGGATGTATAATTCAAGCAAAAGCAAATTATCTTGCACAAACAAGTATTTAGTATTTTCAACACCTCTTTTGGAGGACAGCTCTGCATCAGCCAGGAACAGGAATAAATCAGTCATGTATAGGGCACTCCTCAGTTCCCCTTATCTTGACACTCACCAAAGCCCCCTCATCATTGGATAAAATAAACCATGTGCCAGTGGGCAACCCTGACAGTTGCCCCTAACTAGCCCCAGTTATCAAAGCCAAATCAGAGGGCATTATAAAGTATGGTTATCCACCATAGAAAAAGATGCACAAACCCCATCATTCTTAAAACCTTCCTCATATACTCCAGTCAACTGAATCAAGCACGTTGTATTGTATTGGCATGGTCAAGCTGTAAACTGGTCAAAATCCAACGTAAATTGTGCCTGTGGTCCTGCCAAAAATAAACCTGGTCTGTTCAATATCAACTAGGAATCCTATCATCTAAGAAAGGCGCATTGCTATAATTTTAGTTAAAATCTTAAAATCCTTGTTAAGCAGAGCTATGGGGCGATAGGATGAGCACAAAAGGGGGGGTCTTTACCTGGTTTGGGGAGTACCTGCTCCCAGCGCAACTCTCATTGTGAAGGACAGCTCCCTATCTGGCAGCTGAATGTAAACAAAGGGGCATGAATAAACATCTCTCAGCATCCCCGCTCCTTGGTTGACTTTAACTGCTGGCTGGGTATTGTCCCAGGCAGCAGCTGAAATGTGCAGGGGATGCATCACTGGTTGCTAGCATGCCCGCAGCTACCAGCTTCTTTGCAACTACAAACCCTGAGCAGTAAAGCATTCCTTTAGTGGTAGTAGTAATATCACTACTCAGTAAATGACTTTGTACTGTGGCCAGACGTTTGCCTCAACAGGGGGCCAACCAGCTATTTAGTTTACCTGTTTGATAAAGAGCGAACAGGAAACGTTCACTCAAACCCTACATGGCCTCGAACGCAAACCTCATCCCTACTGATAAGAACTATATACTGTATACACTATATAGCATATGGTCATGTTAGGTGACAGAAGCTCATATGAGGTTCTGACAGCTCATTGCAGTAAGATCAGATTCCCCTCTGTATGACCACCTATAATCTCACCTATTTTACTAGTTACTAGACTTGTGCATTCGGATTCAGACAAACCTGCAAATCAACGAAATTTTGTTGATTTGGCGGTTCGTCCGAATTAATTATCATATGCCCGAATATAGGAAAAACGTATTCGGGCACATGATTCGTATTAAAATATGCGGCGGCCATATTGGCCACCATCGCGTTCGGTGCATGCTTGCCACCATCTTGCAGGTGGTGGGCATGACGTCACGCCTGGACAGTGTCAGGTGACATAACATGAGGTATGGGTGAGCCATCTTGGTGTATAACTAGATATATACCAAGATGACAGCGCCTAACAGGCATGTGACGTCACCTGACGCCACGCACGCGCTGGTGTCATGCGCCCCGCCTCCAGGATGGTGGCGCGCATGCGCAGAATGTGCCAGTGGCCAATATGGCCACCGCGCATTTTAATATGAATCATTATGTACTCAAATATGTTTTATAATAATTGATTCGGATGAACCGCCATTTGTGTTTCGTATGTAAACCTTTTTAGTTTCCGTTCATTTCTTCTGAAATTAATTTTTAGCCATTGCACATGCCTACTAGTTACTAGGCAAAATAGAATTTCATATTTAAACAAGGTTACAGAAAAATACTAATTTCATGATGGATTACAGAGTGTGATAAGATCTAAGAACTAGATAACACTCTGGGATTGGTTAACTATAGAGAGAAAAAAGGAAATCAAATATAAATTACATTATTACGATTTGTTTTTTGTGGTTTAGATTTTTTATTTTTTATGAAAAAAGAAAAAAACTGTTGCGTTCTATTATCAACCTAGTCAGTCTAGTTATACTTAGTTATTAGTTATACTCACTGTAATTCCTCTATCCGGCTTGTTGTCAGAGCCGCCATCACATCACTGAAATGAGGACCCTCCAGATTGTTCTCAGACAGGTTCAGTGTCCTCAGTGTCTGGTTATTTCTTATTCCAGATGCCAGGTCGGGGCAGGAAATGTCTGTCAGATGATTATTCCTCAAACTGTAGAAGAGAAGAATATTACCCGTCATGTTACACAAGCATTGTGATATGCTGTTATTATTGGTTTCATCGTCCTCTGGTATTTTGTCCCACTTCTCTCCATAGTTCAGGTTTTCCTCTGCATAGATAGCTAAAGGACATTTGGATGCAGGCTAGAATAAAATGAAAAGGAGAAAAGCTAAGTGGTTAACATATGATCTTTTGACCTATCCAGTGTTCACTGCTGTAAAGACCTGCACAGTTTGGATTAAGCTTCTCAGTAATCTTCAAGGTGTCATATGAATTGAGTCACTGTCTGCCAACACTACTGAGATTGGGAGTTATTGCTATCTCATTACAACTGTATTTTACAGAGAAAACAATTTTAATGCTTAGACAGGGGAGGCAGAACATGTTTGACCATTCTTCCAGAAGCGCATTTGTGAGGTCACTTACTGATGTTGGACAAGAAGGCCGGGCTCACAGTCTCCGCTCTAATTCATCCCAAAGGTGTTCTATGGGGTAGAGGTCTGGGCTCTGTACAGGTCAGTCTCACACACACACACACACACACACACACACACACAGTGTTTCCCCGAAAATATGACCTAGCACTATTTTTAAACATTCCTGTAATACAAGACCTACACTAAAAATAAGACCTAGTTTGGGGGTGGGGCAAGGCAACCCAGAGATCAACCAGAGTACATGGCGGGGACTAACCGCTGCGTCGCTGCTCCCGCATGCCGCCCCCGTCACGAAATCAGCAGATACCTGTCTGCCTCAGCCTTTGCTTAGAGAGCTGCCGCCGGGCAAAAAACTTAATTTCCCAGCAGGCAGCAGCACAGCGCCGCAAGGAACGTATGGCCAGTGGGGTCGGAGTGAGGTGAGGTGAGGTGACTGAGCCTCAGTCACTGAGGGAACTTCTGACTGGAGGTCCGTGCAGTCCAGCCTGGCGACGAGAGAGGTGGCTCCCTGGCAGGGATCCCACAGAACTGTGGAGGGCATCAGAGAGGAGAGCTCCGGGACAGCTGCAGCTTGCAGGTATTGTGACACTATTTAAAATAATAGCAAATAAAATAAGACATCCCCAAAAATAAGACCGTGTGTGACAGTGTCTTATTTTCGGGGAAACACGGTAGGGTTGAGGCCATCCCTCCCTTCCATCTTCATGAATAATAAAGCTTCCAGAGGCTTCCTTTCTGGAGACTTCCCAGGTAGAATATTGCTCAGCTAAAATCTTTGTTTCTCTTCTCAAAGGACAGAGAAGATTCTGCCTGGTTACAATATAACCCCTCCCTCTCCCAGCAAGCCTCAGTTTTTTGCTAGTGTCCTTATTGATGGACATGCTATCTCTGAGAGACTTACTTCATTCTTTACATGCATTTGTTTTTTCACAATTCTCCTAGAAAGTTTCTGTTTTTTTAGCAGCTTTATGGCCACTGTGGCTGCCTCTCATCTTTGTTCCGTATTTGCTGTACTTCTTTGCGCAGCCTTGGGGAACCATACCTGCACCATGTCTGGAAGAAGATGCAGGGACGGCCTGTAGTGGTGCTTCGGGCACTGGATCATGTGTGGGCGCTCATCTTGGCATGAGGTGCATCACATTCAGTTAGCTGCAGGGTGCTATACAAATCCAGGGCTATGGTCCACCATTTTGGGGGAAGCACCATGATGGGTGAAGCCAGGATAGGGGCTTGGCCCCTGTACCCTGCTTTATGAATCAGTCTGAATGGCTGCTGTTAATGGGGGTCTATTCCCACTCCCAGTTCTTCCCTGGTGCCCACTGTGTCTTTATAAAAAAAAAAAAAAGTTAAAAAAAATTAAACAAAATTTTTTTCATATAATAAAATGTACATACACACCAAAACATACCGTATGAAAAAGACCATTATCCCACACGTTAGATATGGCTATGCACGCTGGAGTGGAATCAATAATTCTAGGGCCATTATTCACCGTTAAATATAAACTGATGGCCTGTAAAAGCTATTAAAGCATTACCTAAGGACAATCTTGGGTACTGTAGTTTTTCGACATTTCTCAGGCACACGCAATTTTGAAGCCTAAGATGTTTGGCGACTATATACTCAGCACATCCTCTGAGTGATGCTATACTTACAGTAACTCCTCTATCTGGCTTGTTGTCATAGCTTCCATCAGATCCCTGAAATGAGGACCCTCCAGCTTGTTTCTTGTCAGGTTCAGTGTCCTCAGTGTCTGGTTATTTCTTATTCCAGATGCCAGGTCGGGGCAGGAAATGTCTGTCAGCTGATTATTATACAAACTGTAGAAGAAGAGAAGAATGTTACCAGAAGACAATGAATGTCTCCCCCAGGAATGAATGTAAATATTCTCTACATGAATGGAACTAATTTCTCTTTATTGGGATCATTTATGTTCCATCACTTTATAAAACTCCAGTAATATAATTTTATAAGAGAATTGTTATAATGGAGTAGACCCCCCAATATTGTCCTCCATGTGTAGAGACGATGATATCTCCATACACAGGATGAGCACAGAATACCACTGACATGACACGTATTGTGCTATAATCTCCTTGTGTATGGAGCATGAATGGTATCAGCAGACAGTGTGAGGAATCAGCATTGCTAGTGATTGGACGGGATGATTTGTATCTGATATTCTATTTATCTCTGCTGATAAGAGCTCTGTACTCATAGGAAGTAATGGGGATATCTCCCGACACTGAATAGCAGATGTGCAGTAATAGTGGATGTGCACTAATGAGGGGATCTCCAATACTAGAATAGTGGATAGGGAAGTCAAGTGACATGATGAATTGCTGATCAATTCTCTGTGACCACCTATAGTCTTATCATTTTACTAGCTACTAGGCTTAATTGAATTTCATTTTTTAGGACAGGTCAAATTTTGGCCGATTCCCAGCTTTGGATCCAACAGTCTTTCACAGTACAATGTCTGTCTCACATTGAGCTGAGAAACACTCTTACACACAGCTAGGTCCAGCTGTCCTAATGAGGGCCTGTTCAGCAACCACCAAAATGTCGTCTAATTTCTGCCCCATTTCAGAAACTAATTTCAGTCAGACTCCCAGTAATACCAGCCCCAGTCTGCATTTGTAAATTACACGGTAAATAAAAACAAACAAGCACTCTTTTACCTCTGATCTTTGCTGGCTTTACCTGAAATCATGTATTTAAGAAACCATGGAGGGACATACCTTCCATCAAATCCCTGGGAAAAAACTTCTGATATGGTTTAATCTAACAAAGAAATGTAATTATTCATATTCAAGTTTTACCTTATACTCTTGATGTTGTGAAAAGCCAGTACAAGCTTTCTTAGTCCTTCATTCTGAATATTACATGAATTTAGATTTACTTCTTGTGTCTCTCTGCAGGATTGAAGGATAAAAGACAGCACAGAGCAGTCCAGAGGGCTGAGGGGGACATTAGAAAAGTCAACTTTGTTTGATCCAACACATTGTGACACCAGAGCCTTATTCCTGCTCTCATGGAGATAGTAGAAGACATTAAGAAGATCTCTCTTGTATCCTCGTTCTTTTAGCATTTTCTTCTGGATCCAGGTGATGACATGTCTGGCAGCCAGAGTAGACAATTCTCCCACATGAGACTTTAACATGGATCTAGTAGAAGAGTCTGAGAGACCGCAGAGGAAACGGAGAAAGATTTCAGCACGGCCGTCATTGTAAGATTCAGCTTTATCAAGTGCTTCCTGTAATGTGTCCGGATTATAGTTAATGAAATGGACTAAAGCAGCAAAAAACTCCTGAAGAGTGAGATGTAAGAAGGTGTAATCCACATCAGGAGGCTGACCAGATTCCATCATGACACATGAAAAGAGATGTGTATCATTTCTCACACTGAATGAGTCCAGATGACGCTCATCAAATACAATCATGCGATTCATGACTCCATGTTCTGCCATCCACCCAATAGATGTCAGCACTTCCCGGGCAGGGTGACCACCATCTTTATTCTGGTTGTGATTGGCCAGAATGTTGGAGACAAAAGTCACAAAGAGTTGTGTCACTGTTTTGGGCAATGATGTCATCAGCTGATCAGTGATTGTTGGTTGGACTCTGAAGCACATTGATAACACTGTACAGATGATCCAGCAGTATGATGGGATATAACAGAAAGTGTACAGCGTGTCATTCTCCTGCACATAATGAAAAGCCTTTTCTGATAATTCCGCATTTCCAAAGAAATTTTTAAAGAAGAGAATTCTATCTCCATGGAAAAATCCTAAAATATCAGATATTCTCAGGAAAGCACCAGTATCAACTGAGGCCAGTCTGGTTGGGCGGCTGGTTATCAGTACAGAGCAACCCATAAGAAGACTCTGCCTCACCAAACTGACCACAATCTCACCAAAATCTGTTCTCTGTTTTGGATTGGACAGTTTGCATGATCTGAAATCCATTTGGTGAACACTTTCATCTAAGCCATCAAATATAAACAGAAGTCTCTCTGGATGTTGTAATATATCTCCAATCTGACTCCTCAGATAAGGATATTGTTGAAGAATCATCTCCTCCAAGCTGACCTCTCCCAGCCTATTAAGGTCCCGGAATCTGAAGAAGAAGAGAAAAGCAAATCTCTGGTAGTGTTTTCCGGTCACCCAGTCATAGACAAACTTCTGTATCAGTGTGGTCTTCCCTATTCCTGGCACTCCGCTCACCATTACTGCATGTGGTGCACATTGTGACTGGTGGCTCCAGCGAAACAGCTTGTTGGGGGAAATATGTTCTAGTTCAGATTGTGTTTTCTTCAAACATTTCTCATGTCTCACCCCGGTCTGTATTATCTCATTCTGGGGACGTTCCCTGAACTGATCAGAGGAGACTACAATCAGATCCACATAACGCTCATTGATGAGGAATCTTTGTGGTTCCAGGGTAGCTCCTGGGGGTCTATGCTCCACTAGAGTCTCCGTCTTCTCCATCAGATGTTGTTTGTGCTTTTTCTGAATATCTGGGAATGTAATTGAAATATTTGTATGAATTGGGTTAAAACAAATGTTGAGAATATGATGTCTAGCATTAATATTGGTCATTCATGGTCCAGTCAGTTAAGTCCGAATCATGAATCATTGATTCCCATACACATTTTAACACGATAGTATTAAATCGCACCAAATGTTCAATTAGGAATTTTTCATAGCAGGGAGTAATCAGACAAATCTTTATTGATAGGAGAGCAGATGCAGCATCCGCATCTACCAAATTGTAAAAAGGAATAATAAGGAAGTACAGCACCCTCAGATGTAGAAAAAGAGGGGGCTGAAGGTATAGCTGTAAGGCGTACGGCTCCAGGAAGGCAGGTCGAGATGTCCTGCGAGGTAGCTAAAAAAAACAAAACACAAATAAGAGCGCAAACCACCTAGCACAATAACCTCAAAATAGGTCTCAATATAGTTGGAGCCTTAAGAGGATGATCAATAAATCTGGATACATCAAAATGCAGGAAACCATTTCAGTGGACTCTCAGAGGGATAAATATAAATGTAAAGCATGTGAGTAATGTGAGCTAGTTTAGCAATCTTTCCAGGATCTCGTGTAACATATGCAGCCATCCAGTAACATTTGGATGAATACAATATAACTTCACTAGGTTGCCAGTGAGGAGCAGGGTGACAGTGGCTGGTAGTGGAAACATAAAAGCAAAAAAACACAGACCAGCGCACTGATCAAGTGTTAACATAAAAATCACACCTTTATGTAAAAATTTAATGCACTCACAGCGGTAAACTGGGGGAGCAGGGCATCTCTCAGTTCCAGAATTCAGGTGGTACAAGTCAGATCACGCTGAGCACTTCCTCTGATGGTAGTGGGGTACAACCAGAAAAACTTGCTGAAGTCCTCATTAGGTGGCACAGGGGGAGAAAGTAATGTATGCAGCCAGTGGCAGTGTCAGCACATATTCTTGTCAGTGAAGACAGCCAGTGCAGTGTCTGTGTTGGTCCCAGTCCTGTCATACATGGCTCTGTGTGTAAAGCCTGTGACACACTGCAAGCAAAGCCATGCAGAGCGAAGCAAAGCTGTCCGGCACGGAGCTTTGTGTGTAGTGTGTGAGCTGAGTGCAGGCATATGATTGACTGCACCTTCAGCCACTCGGCTCGTGCATAACAACCAGCCAGATGTCGCATCGGGTTTGTACACACGAGCCGATTGGCTGAAGATTGCATTTTTCATCTCGGCATGGTCAGCTATGCGAGCTTTCGCAAGTTGACGTGCCGGGGAGAAAATTACATGACACACTGCTCGCAAAGGCAGCGTGTCACCGCTGCGCGCTGCTTCACGTGCAGTGTGTCACAGCCTTAATACAGGAAGGGGAAGCTTCTCCTGCTGTGGCTGTGATGACGAGGCTGAGTGTATACACTCCGGTGCCTCTGTGGTGTAGGATCAGAGCGTTCCTGGGACTGTACAGGGAAACGGGATATACGATCGAGCAGACAATTTGAACGGGAGGGGGAAAGACAGCGAGCACAGACAGCGGGCATCCCCACCTGTGACTGCAAGCTGTTATCTCCTGTCACTGTAATCCGGTGAGAGTGTGCTGTTGAGTCGGATGGAAAAGAGCATAGGCAGAGCAGAGAAGAACATTAGGGGGAAAAGATTGGGTACCAGGGCAAAAATTGCCCAGAAAAGAAAAATTTGGTGCAACCTGTAATAAACTGGGCTCGTTTATGTTGTTGATTGGGGGGGTAGAAGATAGACAGAAATGTAAAGCATTCTATAAAGCAGGGCTCAAAATTTCCACTCGCCCCCTCTCAATTGGCGAGTGAAAATTGCGTGGAGGCGAGTGGAAATCCAGGGGGGCAAACTGCCACCGCTTCAGCAGCGGAGATCGCTGTGTCAGTTTTCTCGTCTCCTCGGCCGCTCTATAGCGGCAGCGGCTGATGAGGAGAAGAGAACTGACACGGCGATCGCCGCTGCTGAAGGAGTAGAATCACTGCGGCTGTCCTTTCTCCGGTGTGCTATCGAAAGCTCACTGCACTGTGCTTCAGTCTTTGAGCACCGGAGCTAGTTAGAGATCTCCATGAGTTGGACCTTTTGATAGAACACTGGCTCCTGCAGCTTCCTCCGCCCACCTCAGCTGCCATAGGCTGGGAGGAAGACTGCAGAGCTGCTACTGACTTGAAGGACAGCGCGGGAGAAGCAGGACACCTGGTACATGGAAAATACATTGCTGTACCCCCCCCACCAGAGGAAGAGGGCACCTGAATCACGTCGGCAATGTGAAATGTAAGTCCCGATTTCTTTTTTGGCGAACGACCCCCCCGGTTGTTACGCCACTGGATCCCGGGATTGTACGATAATCGGCAGGTGTATGGGCAGCGTGCGACCGCATCTACTGTGAGATCGTACGACTTTCGTCTTCCTAGCACGCTGGAAAACCGGGTTGGTGGCGTGCTCGGAAGACGAAAGCCGCACGGGCCGGTGTGTGCAAGCGCACACTGCCCGCTCAGCATTGCAATCATCGGCAAGCCCTCCCCTCAGCGGGGAAAGCTTGCGATGATCGCAAGTACGATCTGCCTGTCCAAGATGGGCAGGTCGTACAAAATTTTAATGAGCTTACAACCATCGCACAACGAAAGTCGTGCGATGATTGTAAGGTGTATGGCCAGCCTGACACCGCTGACCTCTGCTCCATGCGTTACATTACTGAACTCTGCACTATGCGTTACATTACTGACCTCTGCACTATGCGTTACATTACTGACCTCTGCACTGTGCGTTATATTACTGACATCTGCACTGTGCATTATATTACTGACATCTGCACTGTGTGTCATACAGCTGACCTCAGTACTGTTCGCCATAACTCTGGCATCTCTACTGTGCGTCACACTGCTGAACTCTGCACTCTGCATTGTTACTGATCTCTGTTACTGTGCGCGGCATACCGCTGACCTCTGTACATTTCTCCAGCGCGGGACCTGAAGGGAGGCTCAACAAGGCTGCTGGAGGCTTCACCTCTGTACATGGAGGCAACATCGCTACAACCCCCCACCACCACAGAGAGGAAGAGGAGCACCAGAATCAGATAAACTGTGCACTGTAAGTCCCTCTTTTTTCTGGATTACACCGCTGGCCTCTGTACTCTGCGTCACGTCATACCACTGGCCTCTGTACTCTGCGTCACACCATACCACTGGCCTCTGTACTCTGCGTCAACCCGGCTTGTCTCTGTACTCCGTATTACACCGCTGGCCTCTGCACTCTGCTTTGTTACTGATCTCTGTACTCTGCGTCACACCACTGACCTGGCGGATTTAAGGCCGGGGCACGGTAGGGGTTAGGTGGGGCAACTGGTGGCGAGTAACTCTTAAGGCCTGGCTAGTAGCTCAGGACTTGAAATTTTGAGCCCTGCTATAAAGCATAGGATTCATCCTATTGCTTGGTATCGTTGGTCATGAGTTCTCTATATACTTCAATTCCCCATACAGTAGGGCTAAATGCGTTACAATTCTATCTATCCTCCACCCACACAATCAGCCATAAATAAGCCCAGTTTATTATAGATTGCACCAAATTCACACTTCAACGTAATTATTTTTCTTTTCTGAGCAATGTTTACCTACAAATCAGTGGCACAGCCATGGGTGCCAATTATGCTCTGTAGGAAGGTCACTGGTCTGCAATCAGAACTGGCAGTAAATGCAGCTTTATTGCGCTCAAACGTAAAAAGTCTCTTTTTTATCAACAGGGTACGTTTTCCCTTTTTAAAAAAAACAACTTCCAGCAGAACTCAAAAGTAATAGAAACAAGAAGGCCTACTCCACCTTAGGAGGCTAACTGACAGTAGTATCCCTCACTACTCCCTACTGGAGCGGCTATTCCAGCTTCCATTATAAATGAACATGCATAAAGAATCAAAGTCCTTAACATACAGTTTTTTCTCCCAGACCTTATTCCACAGATATTCAGATGCTCTTCAGTCTATGTCTGCATCCAGTGCAGCCTGGATCTCTCTCTGAGCTCTCTCAGTTACTATCAGGTGCAGGCTAATTAATAGAGAGATGGTGTGTACCTGTTGGGGAAATGCTTAACTCCGTCCTAGCCAGGGAAAGTTGCCCTTTTCAATCTCTCACTGACGTACACCGAGTCATATACCCTGTCACAGCTCCTAGTTACACAAATCTTAACAAGGGCTATTGGGAAGAGCGTAACTTCTGGAAAAACTACCCTTTTGCTAAACACCTTGTTTTTTTATGGGCGTTATATTGACGATATCGTAATCATTTGGGGCGGCCATCCTAACAGTCTATTGGACTTTGTGTCACATTGTAACAGTAACAATTTAGGCCTTTCCTTCACCCACATATTTTATTCTGACTCCGATTGTTGTGATAGCGATATATATCCCTTGCTGAGACCTCTATGCCTGGCCTGTATAAGCAGATATACTCACTGCGGACAATCCTTGTCAGATAGCTGAACTCGTCAATACCGTTTCATCCAAAAAAGGTACTTTATTCTTAACATCAGGGTTACAGCAGATGATAGGAACAGCAGATGAATGGTTTCAGTATTGTGCGGTCAAAAAATGATGCCTTTTCTAGCGTACTATGCAGAGTACATGTGTCCTAGTTACATGTGGCCTGTTAGCTGCGGCCATGACACAGGAAACACTGACCAACAAGAAGAAGGGAGGGGCATACATACAAAGGAAATATGTAATAGATCAGGAAAAGAAATACAAAAAAACAGGTGCAATATCACAAAGGGCCACTAGATGGCAGCATGTGAACCAGATATATGAAACGTCCATAGGAAATGGTATAGGGAAAACAATCTATCTAAAACTATCTAACATTAACTTCTATAACATATTCTATGCCCCATTTGGGCGGCACATATTTGATCCCAGTAGTCTGGTTTTTCTGGACCTTGAACTCTCCACTGAAGGGAATAAAATAATCACCAAAAACCACATGAAACCCACTGGTGGCAACTCGCATTCACATTTCTAAAATTGCCACCACCCCAGGTGGGAACGAAATATCCCCAAGAGCCAATTTTGTAGGCTGAGGAGAAAAACTACACAAAAAGAGCTGACTATTCTTCACTCAGTAATCATCTTTTGTCCAAATTCAAAGAGAAACAATAGCCTGAACAATTAATTCAGGATGCATATTCAATGTATCTGAGCCCTAACACTCTGAACAATGCCAGATCCCCCAAAACCACAAGGTGACATGACGTTCATCACTACCTATAATCAAAGTAATAACGCTGTCATGGTCCTTGGAATACTGAACCATGTCTCCTTGACTATATGACACAGTGGGGGGGTCCTCCACCCTGTCTTAGGGTTGAATCACTCTGTGTTTGTTTCACAGTTCACAGTTTGTCTTAAGGATAATCCCCTCCAACGGCTCCGGGGTCTGGAAGGAAGGCATTGTTCTGTGTTTATGTAATTATCTCCTGGGACTTCTCTGTGTCATTACCCATATCAGCCCTCCCCTTCAAGTTATCGGACCAATCCCTGCTGACTCTGCTTCAAGTCCTCCTTTGCATGGCCACACATATCAGCCCTCCCCTTCAAGTTATCGGACCAATCCCTGCTGACTCTGCTTCAAGCCTTCATTTGCATGACCAATAGGAAGGTGTTGGTTTGGGCGGGTTGTTCAAACTGTTGTGTATAAAAGTGTGTGTGTGCATTCAATAAAGCAGATCCCTGTTGGAACTTACATACAGCCTGCCTGGTGTTTGTTCTGAGCTGGATTGGAACGGCACATAGCTGTAGTTCCAATCCCGGATTATCTGACGATCGAAGGATCAGACGTTGCGGTCTGACATCTGATCCATTAGTAGCAGAGGAGTGCCGGGAGAGTGGACCGAGCGAGCAGGGGCTCGTTACAAACGCCATACAGTATGCCATCTGGAGAAAATTGGCATACTGACTGATAAATAATTCAAAACTGGGCCCCACATTTTCATCTCTTTCCGCTCACCAGGCAGTCGTGCCGATGGGGACAAGGGCCTCTTCCCCACAACCCTAACCCAGTGGTTGTGTGGGTCTGCCTGCAAGGGGGCTTATTTGCATGGGGGTACCCTTTAATTAAGGGGGCACCCAGATGCTGCCCGCACCCTATAGAACTCTGTATGTAGGACGCTGTATATAGAACTCTGTATATAGGACGCTGCATATAGAACTCTGCATATAGAACTCTGCATATAGAACTCTGCTAGCCTTTAACCAATTAGAGCTTCAGAGAGCGCATTGCCTTGTGGGATGGTGCGTGGTCGAACAGACCGTGGACATCCCACAAAGTTCGGCAATGTTCGAATCGAACTTACGTTCGACTCGAACCGGCAGCCCATCACTACTCTTCAGTGACAATATTTTTTTATTTTTTTTTAAGCCAGAGATGAGCTTGAGGCTGGGTTCACACCTAGGCGTATTGTATATGCGCGTTTGTCGCGCGTTTCGCGTCCCGCGTTTTTACCACGATTCACGGTAAAAAACCGCGCGACAAACGCGCGTTTCCGAGGGCTACTTGGCTGTATCCCAATGGAAAAGCGAGACCAAAACGCCCCAAAGAAGTACATGTACTTCTTTGGGCGTAGGCCGTTTTGTATCGCGTTCGAACGGGCGGAAATACGGCAAGGTGTGAACCAGACCCATTGAATACAATGGGATTTAGATGTTTGAGCGTTTTGTAGAGCGTTCGTCGAGTGTTGAACGCACTACAAAACGTTTAGGTGTGAACCAGGCCTAAATGTAAACTATATATGCTAAGTGTTGGAAACCAAACACCGTGAATCATATCTGATTATATACTGCAATACCAAAACTCTGTTCTTTCCACAGACGATAGTCCTGTCCATCTTTAAAATCCAGTTTTACAGATTCAGTAGGTCATTTCACAGCGATGGGTTTCTGGACTTGAAAAAAAATGCAGTGTGTAAGAATTCTGGTCCTGATATAACCAGAGCACAGACCCTGCAATTTTGGTGTGACTGGCGCACCCATATCATTATTTATACATTTTCAGACCAGATCCAGAAGTTCTTAGTAAAGTAAACAGTACAAGTGAAGAGCAAATATTCCAACATCATCTCCGCACATTAAACAAAGTGAGCCGTGTTTTATCAGATATATTACATATTTTATTTACCTTTCAGCTCTGGAGTCAGTGAGTGTCCATGTTCATCCAGCAAAATCTGCTCAACCAGACGCTCACCTATAGAGAAAAATGTAAGAAGATCCAATTATTTATGATTGAAGCTGACCTTTCACATACAGAATATAAGTGCCTAACCCTATGTTACACTTAATATAAGAGTAACAATCTTCATATTTTGACATATTATGTATATATATATTTTAGAGGACGGCAAGGCTGGGTCCTGGAAGGCAGGTATATCTCACCACTGTTTGGGTTGTGGTCCCTTTAAGGGCCACCAGAGAGTTAACCTTCCTGCCACAGGAAGGGGTTTAAAAGATCTACAACTCCCAGAGAAGAGTGTGGGAGTTGAGGAGGAAGTGATTAGATGTGTGCTAGATTGCTGTGCCTTAGGACTAATATTCTTGTGAAAGGGAATTCCCCATGTTTGGGACTTTTTTTTTGTTACAACAAGTCGGTGAGACACATTTATGTTTTGTTATCTGTACTGACGATACAGACTTTTACTTTGATTTTTTGCTGAAGATAAGTGTACATTTGTGTTTACCATTTTGGCTGTCCTGCAAAGGAAAATAAAATCCTTTGTTTTAGGGCTTGTTCACACTAGTGCGGAGCAGATGCAGAGCAGTTACAGATCACATAAAAAATGCATCCAATGTATTCCAATGGTATTTTGGTCTCTAGTTCACACCACAGCGTTCAGTTCCAGAGCATGTGGAAAAACTGCAGCAAGCCCTATTTTACCTGCTCTGGAATGCACCAAAAATGCATGCAAACACTCGTGCTTTACACCACGGCATCCCACGCTTTGCATTGCACTTGGTGATGTAAGGCTTGGATGCAGCTGCTCGGCCATGGAAACCCGTTCCATGAAGCTCTCTACGCACTGTTGTTGTGCCAATCTGACCGCGGAATATTTAGTAGCAAGGAAATGTCACAGTTGGATTTATTGCACAGGTGACAACCTATCATGGTACCACGCTTGTAGTCACCTGAGGACGACCTATTCTTTCACAAATGTTTGTAGAAGCGTCTGCATGCCGAGGTGTGTGATTTTATACACCTGTAGCTATAGAGGTGATTGGAACACCTGAATCCAATGATTTGGAGGGGTGTCCCAATACTTTTGCCAATATAGTGTGTGTGTATGTACATACATACATATATACATACACACATTATATTTGCCATATACACCATTTGTACTTTAATACTAAAAAAAAAAATCAGTCTGCAGCCAGTTGTGATTTTTCTAAAAATTATAAAAAGAAATCAAAGGTTGCTTCTGTATAATCTAAAGGTGCCCATACACGTTACAACCATCGCACGACTTTCGTTGTGCAATGGTTGTAAGGTAATTCAAATCTCGTACGATCTGCCCATCTTGGACAGGCAGATCGTACTTCCGTTCGGCATTTGTCTCTCGAGCACGCCACTAACCCGCCGAAAATCATACGATTTTTGGCTTTTTTTCCAGCGTGCTCGGAAGACAAAAGACGTGCGACCGTTTCATTAGAAACGGTCGCGCACCTTCCATACACCTGCCAATTATCGTACGATCGCGGGATCACCCGCGATTATCGTACGATAATCGGCAGGTGTATGGGCACCTTTACACTAATTCCCAAATGTTTTAAGTAACCAAAAATTTGCACACAGTTGGAAAACGTTAGGAGACCGGACACGCTGCTCAGAGTAAAGGTGCCCATACACCTTACGATTATCGCACTAAACTTTTTGTCCGATGATCGAATAGTCGAATAATTTTCGTACGGCAGCCCCATCCTGCCCCGATGATCGCAAGATTAATTTAGCCGTAATTAACGAAAAGCACCTGGACGAAATGTGGTAATTGATTTGCCGTATTTTCGTTAGCGCAAGCTAGATCGTGCGACTTTTGACGGACGGAAACGCCAGCAACCTTACGACAATCGTACAATCTAGCAAAGTTTTCAAACATGCTTGACCGTCAAAAGTCGTACGATTGTACAGTACTGTCGGTCGGACACTGCAATGCACACATACGATTATCGGACGAAAAGTCGATCGCATACGAAAATCGTACGATAATCGTAAGGTGTATGGGCACCTTAAGTCTGGCCATACACTGGCTGTTTGTTCTCTTAAAATAATCTTGATTGCAGTTAGCATGGAGTGTAGATACTCCCCCCGGTCTATTCTGTTCTGACAATGGTGGGTGTGCTGCTTTTTAGAAAACCTGCACAGCGATTGCAGAAGATTAGCTGCTGTCACTGCTCCACCAAGAATTTTTGAACCAAAAATAATTGACTGTTGTGGAACCAATGGGACCTCACACTGGTCGATTATTGACCGAGTCAGCTGTGTTTGGCCAGCTATAGAGGAATAGGTGTAATGTGGTCACGTGGTTTACAAGTCACAGAAACTATGATGTCTGTGTTATTCTATAAACCATACTGATATTAAAAACCTTTGCAGGTCGAAGGAAAGAAGAAAATAATTTACCAGAGAGGAAAATAGAAGGAATATAAAAATATATGTCAAATTACAGCTAGAATAATTGGTGTCAATAAATATTTTATTGCAGTTTTGATAGAAAACTCAAAGTTACCGATCTGCTTAATCTCATCCAGAACCACCAATAAATTTGGATGAGGATGATCTTTCTCTAGTGAATAGAGACATTCCCAGAGTCCAATCACAGCTTTTCTCCCCCGATCCTGAATATCTTGTAACAAGGTCTGAGAGAAGGAAGACGGTTCCATTGTCTGGTATTTCTGGAAAAAAATTTTTATTATTGTTCCTTTTTAACAATAATTATTTCATTTTTTATTTGTATTTCTACCCACAATGTAAAAGATTATCCTGGTTGGTCCCAGTTGATGTAATAAAACACTACCAGAGCTGCAGATAAGATAGACAGCAGATATAATGTGTACCATTCACCCCAGCTCGGTCCTTTCTTTATTTTAGCAATTGGTGTAGACACCCCACTGTTAAAGGAGAACTATGAGGGGGGTGCTTTTCACTCGGCTCATAGTTCTAGCCGACCTGTGACAATGAGACTGTCACAGGTCGGCTCAGTAGATCGGGAGGTGAGCGAACACATACCGGCGTTCGCTCACCTCTCGATCCTGTCACGGCTCTCTGCCGTGACAGGGGAAGGGTTGGATTCACCCCTCCCAGCCTTGATACGCCAGCGCTGACTGGCGGGACGTGGGAGGGGGCGGGTACAGCTGGCTCTGCCTCTAGATAGGCGGAGCCAGCTGTCAGTCATGCAGCTGGGCGGATCCAGACATAATTGTGGGGATCCGCTTCAGCTGCGGCGTCTCAGTATACCGCGAGCAGCACCTTGCTGAACTCCCTCCTATGTCTGAATGTGGAAGTAATGTGTAATACATCACTTCCACATTCACCTGTCAGTCCTCTGGCTGCTATAGCCAGAGAAGAAGCTGGTGAAGCAGATCTCTGCTTCATCAGCTTCTTTGGGGGTCCCCAGGTGACATTAGGGGTCTTGGAGAAAAAAAAAAAGTAAAATAATAATAAAAGTCACATATTAAAAAAAAAAAACCACAATTTTTTAAGTCCCCCACGTTTACGCACATATAAAAGTAAAGCCGCGTCAGATGTGCCAGCGCACGAAAACGACAATTGCGCTACACGTTACATATCGCCGTGAACATCGCAGTGAGAGCAATCATTTTAGGGCCATAAATCACTGATAACACTAAACTGATGAGCGGTAAAAGCTTTTAAAGAGTCGCCTATGGACAATTTTGTGTATTGTAATTTTCTTAGGTTTCGCTGGCGTGCGCAATTTTAAGGCAAATGTCAAATGTTTGGTGTCTATTTACCTGCTGTGACCCCGTGTTCTATCTGTCCCCAAAAAATGGCATAAAATGTATTTCAGTACAGCGCTGCATGACAGAATAAACGTCAGTCAAAGTACCGCAGCGCTGAATACTGAAAAATGGAAGGGGGTTTAACACCCCGGACTTCAAGTGGTTAATGAGATTCTAACCGTGAATGTAGTTTTTGTTCGGGAATCTCCATTCATTTCCAAAATCGAAATAAAATGACATTTCAAAAGACAAATCATCAAGTCTCTGATGGCATTATCAAATGTTCTGATGAGATTTTTAGAGCTGCAGCTAACGATTATTTTCAAAATCGATTAGTTAGCCGATTATTAAGTTTGATTAATCGGATAAAAAATAAAATACATTTTTTAAAAATGGCTCCAGTGATGCCGCCCACACCTGCTCCTCCTTCTTCTCCGCGCGTCCCTGTGCCGATCGTGGATGCGGGCGGTGAGCGTGAGGCGGGAAGGAGGTGCTGCGGCCGCGAGGGTCTGGCAGTGGCGAGCGTGAGGTGGGGAGGAGGTGTGGAGCCGTGAACAGGGCCAACCAATCGTAAGCCGATTAATCGATGATTGAAACGTTGACAACTTTTTCAATAATCGATTATGTCGATTAGTTGTTGCAGCCCTAGTGATTTTGCATATGAACATTTTGCGCGTTTCCGACGGCTACTTGGCTGTATCCCAATGGAAACGCCCAACAAAAACGGCCCAAAGAAGTACATGTACTTGTTTGGGCGTAGGCCGTTTTGTAGGGCGTTCAGACGGGCAGAAATACGGAAAGGTGTGAACCATACCCATAGAAAACAATGGGATTTTCATGTTTGTACGTTTTGTAGAGCGTTCACAGACAAAATGTAAAGGTGTGAACAGGGTGTCAGAGTATATCCAGCTTTAGTTTCATGGGACATATCAGCGTACAGAGGATGATGGCAATTTAAAGTGACACTGTACGCTCTCACTATAAAGCTCTGTTTGAAATTTTGTGAGTGAGGAAGGATTAGAACTACTGTCAGGTGTTTACTACTAGAAAATGTGGATCTGCGCTTGTGGATAACCTATTAAAGGGAATAAAGCAGCCACAATACAGACTGAGAAGTCCTAGCAGAGATTTTTCGGCGCTAAAAAGCCTTTCTATGTGAATAACTAAATATCTTAATAAATCAACTAATACTCCTAAACCATGATCAGTGCAAACTGCTAACAGTGAAAAACGTTTCCTCTAAAACTGTGAATAGATATACAAATCTTGCTGTGTAAATAAAAATGAAAAGACCGTATGGTCTCTTGTAATTGTGATAACTATATAAAGCAATCTTAACAGTAAAAAAACAGTTAGAGACTGTAGTGTGCAGTCACTTTGTGCAAAGTGATTGAGGTGATACAACCTCTGTATGATTAGACAGACCTCTCAAACAATCACATCCATGATTTATAGTGATCCATTAAATAACAAAAAAGTCCAGTCCAACTTCATATAGTTAAAGTGTGTAAATGTGCAGCGCTAAAAATTAAAGTGCATAATAAAAAAAATGTAAATATATAAATATATATAGTTAAATATATAAATATATATAAATTAGATAATAAGACAAATCTATAATATACAGTGTATAACAATTTAAATCCTAATACAGTGTCTCCACAGTGTTAAATATCCAGTGTAAAACCATATATAGTATCAAAAATGACAATATATAATATTTTCACTCATGTGTTTTTCCATAATAAAGTGAAATCGTGATAAATTAGTATCAAAACATTTCAGTGAACAGCTAATGACAAAATATAAAACTATAAGAAAGTCCCAAATTAGAAACCGTGATATGCTTAAAATTTGGATCCAATGAACATTTCAAGCAGATATCTCCAATCGGTGTATCAGTTGGTGAATTCTTCCCACACCACGGTGCTTTCAAACTATCCCCTTTCGGGTGTGTACTCACCCCACGGGTTGAGGTATTAAAGCAGGAGATCCCAAGTCAGAGGGTCCGCATCCCCAATGTTTACTCTTGATAACACTCCGTCCGTTATGGATTTAGGTAAAAAAGAGAAACCTCCTCATGGTGTGGTATGCATAAACGTTTATTTATATAAAAAACATATAGTCACTCACATTTAAAATCAAAGAAACCGGCCGGTGTAGTGTAGCGTCTCACTCGCCTGCTACTTCCTGGTATAGCGTGGTATCGAATTAGGATAGACCCGCCCCGATGCGTTTCGTCATACAAGACGTCCTCAGGATATATATTTATATATTTACATTTTTTATATTATGCACTTTAATTTTTAGCGCTGCACATTTACACACTTTATCTATTTTGACCACAGGGTTGAGAGCGCAGCTGCTTTGGTATCAGGATATTAAATCAGGGCTATCCATAAAGCGCGGATCCACATCTTTTACAACTTCATATAGTGATGGATGTAGGGAAAAAAAGAGGGTTGATGAATATCCTCCAATTACTTAAACAGCGTGCTGGTGCATCCAATATAAGTGCGTGAACAAACTTCAAAGTGTCACACACGAAAACCCCTTAAGGTCCCCACACACCTTACGATAATTGTACGATAATCGCGGGAAATCCCGCGATCGCACGATTATCGTAAGGTGTGTGGGAGCCGTGCGACCTCTACTACTGTAAGGTCGCACGACTTTTAACTTATGTTCGAAAACCCGCCGAGCATCGTACGACCGGCGGGTTTGTGGCATGTCCGTACGATAAAAGCCATATGGGCCGGTGTGCGCAAGCGCACACTGCCCGTTCAGCATTGCGGTCATCGGAAGTACGATCTGCCTATGCAAGATAGGCATATCGTACGTTTTTTTAAGTACCTTACAACCATCGCAAGACAAAAGTCTTGCGATGGTTGTAAGGTGTGTGCCCAGCCTTAGGCAGTGCTCACTCATCGCATACACATCCTTATGAGCTTTTGCAGTCAGCCTGGAGTAGGTATTTGAATCAGATCCCTCTTTAGTGTATCCTTCAGGTATTAGTTAGATGTTTCCCATAAATTAAGAGATTCTCCTCATGGTGAAGCATGTACATACATGTAAATCCCCGGAGCGCACGATTATCGTAAGGTGTGTGGGAGCCGTGCGACCTCTACTACTGTAAGGTCGCACGACTTTTAACTTATGTTCGAAAACCCGCCGAGCATCGTACGACCGGCGGGTTTGTGGCATGTCCGTACGATAAAAGCCATATGGGCCGGTGTGCGCAAGCGCACACTGCCCGTTCAGCATTGCGGTCATCGGAAGTACGATCTGCCTATGCAAGATAGGCATATCGTACGTTTTTTTAAGTACCTTACAACCATCGCAAGACAAAAGTCTTGCGATGGTTGTAAGGTGTGTGCCCAGCCTTAGGCAGTGCTCACTCATCGCATACACATCCTTATGAGCTTTTGCAGTCAGCCTGGAGTAGGTATTTGAATCAGATCCCTCTTTAGTGTATCCTTCAGGTATTAGTTAGATGTTTCCCATAAATTAAGAGATTCTCCTCATGGTGAAGCATGTACATACAAATTTATTAAAAATGGACATCCAAACTTACATTAACTGCCTCCGGGCCAGCCGTAGTAAAAAAACGGCCGGCCGGGAGCTCTCTCGATCTGAGCGGGCGTCTTTAGACGTCCGCTCAGACACGTCCCCTGAGCGGGAAATGGCCAATATTTAAAAACGGGCAGCGATGCCTGTTACCATACAAGCAATCCGCCGGCTGTAGAGCCGGCGGATCGCGTGTATGGGGTGCCGATCGGTCCCCCTC